CAAGTATGGGTAAGCCTGAAAGCCCCAAACCCAACGAGGTGGAAGGCTGAAGGCCTCCAGGTTCCAAGCCATTAAACTCCGAGTAGGGTTTAGGGTTTAGGGTTTAGGGTCTAGGGTTTAGGATTAGGGTTTAGGGTTTAGGATTAAGGTTTAGGGTTTAGGGTTTAGGTTTAGGGTTTAGGGTATTTGCAAGTATTGTCCCCGTGATCTCGATTGACTGTTGCAGCCCCTTCTGCTTAGCCGCACAACTTTGGGGCTAAGAGTTTACCTTCTTGGGGGGGTATGAGTTTACCTTCTTGGGGGGGTATGCTAGCCCCTTCCGCTTAGCGGCACAACTTTGGGGCTAAGAGTTTACCTTCTTGGGGGTATTCTAGACCTGCGGTTTGGAGGGTGCATACAACATCAGCCCTAAACTCCAAACACTTTGTAACCCATTCGAGAAAGCCCGAGTAACCCGCATAGAACCCTCTTAGAGCCTTTGTAGACGTTCTTACAGATCCCTTTAGTGACCCTCATAGAAACCCCTAGACCCCTCAGCCCGGAAGGTGCCGTGGCTGTCCAGGCAGTTGCGGTGAAGTTGGGCCATGCTCTGAGCCTTTTTTTGGGTTTTGGGGGTATCGGTTTACCAGCCTCACAGGGTTATTACGGGGGTGTTCTCAGATCTATGTATGTTTTGGAACAAATATAAGGCCCTGAAGCCCTAAACCCTAAACCCTATAAGGCGCCTTAGTCACTCGAATACGATTGGGTAGAGGGGCCCTAAAGGTTCTACGGGGTTGTATTTTGGGTTTAGGGTCTTCGGCTCTACAGCGTGGCAGTGGCTTTAGCAAGAAGACTCTCTGTCATAGTTCCCGGGTTTAGGGGTTCAAGCTAGGGGTTTGGGGTTTAGGGTTTCGAGGTCTTGAGATGGAGTTGTTGAAGAATGATTTAAGTTGGAAGTCCTAAAGGTCGGAGCACCATCCAAAGTCCACCTTTCTGCCTAAGGGTCCGAATGCTGCGGCTGAAAGAACCGGTGTTCGATACAAACCCCACAAGTCTGGGGTACCAGTTGCCACGGTTGACACTCGGTCCAAACACACAGATTGGGTCTCACATAGTGGTCGGAAGAAAGAGCCATAGTGAAAGTCCCCATGCAATCATACCGAATCATGAGAGCAGACATCCCAAAACCGTATCCCATCTATAAGACCCCTTGTATCGGCGATCTTCAGAGCTCATGCCCTAGACTCCCTAAACCTGCATCCCAAAGCACGTCCAAACCCTAAACCCTGACATCCTAAGACCCTAAACTCCCTAAGCCCCAGAAGTCCTAACCCCCCAAGCTCGAGGCTACCGCAGCGAGGCCGGCCTTCGCTAATTACGCTCGCGAGGGCGTTTTCGGGGGTTTAGGGGTAGTTCTCTAAATTGGGGTCCCTTTTAGGGTCCATGTTTATAAGGGTGCCGTACTATACTGGGGACCCAAAAGGAGACCCTAATTTAGAGAACTACCCTTAGAGCTTCTTAGCAGAAGCGTAGGGAACCTTGGGTTTAGGGTTTAGGGTGGGTAACCTTTTATGCTTTTGCTGCACTTTTCATCCCCATATCATTCCAACGGTGGACGCGTAGTTCGCGCAGGGAACTTTCGGTGGTCTTGATCGGACGTTCCCGGGCCATAGCTTACTGGTGCTTCAAATCATGGGCATGAACGGTGATTCTCTATCCCTAAATCCTAGCAAACCCTACTAAACCCTACAACCTAAACCCGAAGAAAGCTTGCGGCTGTTGAAACCCAGCGAGAAGTCGAAAGGACGAGTATACTGAGAGCCCGCAACAAAAGGGGGAAAGAGCCTACGGGTTTAGGGTTTTAGGGTTCAGGGTAAAGGAAGGGTTTAGGCTTTGGACCCTGTGATTGAAATCTTAGACACCGAGCAATGGGTAGTGGTTGCACACTTGGATCTTTGTCTGCATCGGTGAAAGAGTGAGCCTGCTTCCTCGGAAAGAACCCAGGCCGCTGCCACGATCATTGTCTTCAAAGCCACCGGCTCATCATAAGTCCCCAATAACATGAAGCCCTGCTAAGCCTTATAAAGTCCCCGGTTTAGAGGGTTTAGGGTTTAGGGTTTCTCACAAAACACGTAAAACAGCATCCTTGAAAGCCCTGAGCACTCAACCTCACCTCTGTGTGTCTCGAAGCCCAAGACTCAAAAAAAAAACGCCCTGTACGACGGTTGATGATATAAATCCTGCAATACCCATAACAAGGCATAGACCACAATTCCCACAGTTTAGGGTCCTCAAGGTATATGCACGATTTAGATCATCAACAGTAGGCCTAAAGCCCATAAGTTCCCCAGGTCCCTAAACCCTAAACCCTGAATCCTAAACCCTAAACCCTGAATCCTAAACCCTAAACCCTGAATCCTACACCCTAAACCCTAAACCCACAGCCCATCACAGCCACAACTCTACGGCCGCTGCAGCCCAAAACCCACCAAGCACCCATCTGAACCCGAGAACCTTGGGCTAACAGCACGGTTTAGGGCTTTGTTGGTTTAGGGTTTATAGGGTTTAGGGTTTAGGGGTTTAGGGTGTACGGTTTAGGGTTTAGGTTTAGGGTTTAAGGTTTAGGGTTTAGGGTTTAGGGGTTTGGGGTTTAGGGGTTTAGGGTTTAGGGTCTAGTCCTTCAGCCTCTTGCCGCCATGAAGACGGTTCGCGGTGTGGCGGCTGCTACCGCGGCATCCCCTTCTGCACGTTGGGCTATCCTGAGCTCCTTCGACGAAAGCTGGGTTCGCGTGGCATGCGTGTGTGTGTGTGTGTGTGTGTGTGTGTATGTGAAGGGATCTGTGTGTGTATATATATATATGTATATATGTATACCAAGACCTAACTAACATAAACTTCTACTGACATAATCATTACATGTATATAAGGCATTGTTGCACTCTCGCCTGTATGTGTAAGTGGGGTTTAGGGTGTATTTGAGTTGGTATAGGTTTTAACCTGTTCGTGTGCACGTGCGGACGCCGGAATCGTCAGCTGAATATTCCGAGCAAACCAGCTCAGCATCGAGGCTCAAAAAGCAAGGGCTTCAGGCCTCGAGCATCTACTATAAAGGCCTAAAAAATTACCTATTTTTGGGGAGTTCCTGATTATAAGTAGAGTATAATGGGCCCCCAAACCCTATTCTAATTATTAAGGCCCCCCATGCTACGGGTTCTTTCGGAGTGTCGAGTTTCTGGCTGCTCGCGTACTCGCTGAATACCGTGACATCTTCGGGCTCAGGTTGAATTTGTTTATGTATCGATCCATGTATCTATCTAGCTATTTATCTATTTATCCATGTATCTATCTATCTAGCTAGATATCCATCTAGCTATCTAGCTAGCTATCTAGCTATCTTGCTATTTATCTATCGATCCATGTATCTGTCTATCTACCTCTCTGTCTAAATCTATCTACCTATCTGTCTATCTATCTATCTGTCTGTCGGTCTGTCTATCTTTTTATTTGTCTATTTGTCTATCTATGTATCTATCTGTGTATCTCTCTATGTATTTATCTGTCTATCTAGCTATCTATCTAGCTATCTTTCTAGCTATCTATCTATCTATCTATCTATCTATCTATCTATCTTCAAAGCAGAACTTTACAACCAAAAGCCCGAACTTCTTGAGCAACCCAGCATGACAAACCGGAGAAACTGACCCGACATAGCACACGCCTCCTAGTAGGGAGCCGGAGAAGTAGGGTGTTGCAAGCTCCACGGAGCCGGAAATGTTGATTCGGGGCTTCGGGGGGTCTGCATTCCGCACCTCAGCAATGCTCTGAGGAGGTCTGGTCGCTGTGACGGCGCTTCTCTGGGCAGCTCAGAGGCTTGGGGGTGCGCTAATATAGGGGCAAAAAGGGTCCATAATAATTACCTATACTATTGTGGGAAGGGCTCCTTGTTATAATTAGTAAAAACCCCAAAGCCCTATTCTAGTTATTAAGGCCCCTACATTATGTGATTTGAGCTTCTAGGTGCAGTGGGGTTTATGGTTCTGGCATAGACTTGTTGGTTGTTACTTGTTGTAGGGCCATGTAGGGGCGGCGGGCCTAAGCCTAAACCCTAAACCTCCAAACCCTAAAATAGGGGCCTAAATAATTACCTATACTATTTTGGGCGGGTTTCCGTGTTATAATTATGGTATAATCTACCCCTGAACCCTATATTCTAAATATTAAGGCCCCTATATGGACCGGCCCTAGCCCTAATGCTGAATCCAGGCTGTTGGTGTCGACAGATCGGCCATTCCTCTCATGTCCTGGGGTCAGTACCTGGGACTCTAATTACCTACAGTTTTATGGGTTCTACCTACTAATTACGGGGTAATGCCTGCTAAACGGTAGGCAAAGAGAGTTACAGGTATGGCCTGCTGCTCACAAGGGTCTAGGGCTTCAAGAGCCTAAAGCTTTAACCCAGGTTCAAGCTTTACGTACGGTTTTAGAGTGGTCTTTCATAGATTGCATCTTATATTGCCTAAGCTCCTAAACTCTCAACCCTGAAACCTCAACATAAACATATATGTTAATTTCGATATATATATATATATATGTATACCCAGTATATTTATGGATATAGATAGATGTAGGCTTTTCGGAAGTTTAGGGCTTTGGGAGCTTCGGGCTTTGTTTACGTTGGGTTTTTGGATGTAGCGATCCAGGCTGACGACATGCCGGACAGGTGCCGTTTCAGGTTTAGGGTTTAGGGTTCAGGGTTTAGGGTCTGGCAAGGACTGCTGTTTAAGTCAAGTCGTCGCGTGACTCGGTGTTCGCGTAAATTTAGCGTTTAGGGTCCGGCCTTTGTTTTCAACCGTTCCGCTCTTGGATGCTTTGATTTTGAAAACGCCGATGTTGTTTGCCCAGAATTCCGAAACGACGGAGCCCAGATCTAGAGACCTAGACCCTAATTAAACCCTAAACCCTAAGCCTAAACCGTCAGCCCGGAGACACTAGTGTATGAACCCCTTCTCTCTTTAAGCCCTTGAAATCCCAAACCGTTAGAAACGCAAGCCTTCAGATTCCTCAGTTCTGAAGCCGAATTCGCCTGTAACCGCTCCTCTTGAAGGTCGGGCACACTGTGGGTGCTGGGATTGCTACTGTGTGTGCTGGTTGTGGCTGGCCCTCAATGGTCGAAGGTTTAGGGTTTAGGGTTCAGGGTCCTCTTCCTCAAGGGTCCTAAGTTCCTACATAGTACTTTGTGGGGTTTCCATACAAGGAATTGCTGTTATGATTTGGGGAAGAATCCCCCATAACAGTAGTTAAGGTCTGGTTCATGTTCGGCTTTAGGGCTTGAGGCATGCGGCTCGGGCCTTGTTATGATTTGAGTTTCAGCAAGGACTTGGCTTCTTGGTCAAGCATTTCGGTCAAGGGATCGCGCTATGAGATTTCTGCAGTACCTATAGTCTCCGTTGTAATTCCTATTTTGCGGTTTAGCCATCCTTATATTTGCGACCGACGGTAGGTAGAGTTCAGGACGGTCACGGTTCGGAGTGCCAGGGTTGGGGCTTGGATTGCCAAGGGATGATGTTGGCAAGGGCGAATGTGCCAGCCCATGTGGCCTAACCAACATATCCCCAAGGATTTCCTCTAGCCCTAAATCCTCAACCCTAAATTTAAACCCTAAACCCTCAATCCCTAAACCCTAAACCCTAAATTTGAACCCTAAACCCTCAACCCTGAATGTGAACCGGCTCCTTGTCCGAAGCGACGTGCGAGAAGAGCCCTCAGGTCTTTCTTGCGACATCTTAAATCCTAAGCCCTGAAATCCGCTGTTTTCACTCTGTATAACTTCTGAGTATGGTTAGAAATCCTTAAAGGCCCTAAACCCTCAAGCCCCGACAATCGAGCCAACAATCCTGAAGTTTAAGAACTAGGCCCTAAGCCCAAAGTCCCTAAACCCCTAAACCCTAAGCTCTCAACCCAAAAAAGGCCTGCAAAGCCATTGAGCCCTCAGCAGTCTAAGGAGGAAGCCTACCCTAAACCCTAAACCCTCAGCAGTCTAAGGAGGAAGCCTACCTCCTCCATGACTGGTCCGTGGATCTTGCAACTCGCCCTGGGAGATTAGGGTTTAGGGTTTAGGAAAAACAGGAGAAGTTCGAGGAGTTCGGGTCAGGGATCCTGATACCACGAGATTTACAGTGGTTCCACCACGGTGTTCAGCGGTTCGTGTTTCAGATAAGTTAATATAGGGGCCTTAATATTGGAATAGGGTTTTGGGGTATATTAGACTGTAAGTGTTAATCAGAATCCCCAAAACCCTATACTAATTATTGAGGCCCCTACATGATGTGAGCTCCACCGGTTAGCTACAGGGTTTAGGGTTTAGGCCCTAAACCCTAAACTTTCAACCCACCCTAAGCGGAAGGATCCTCAAATTCATGATCCCGGTTTAGGGTTTAGGGTTTAGGGTTTAAGTGAGGTGCCGTGCCTTCTGCAAGCGTCGGAGTTAAGTTGGGCCAGAAAGGTAAGCCCCAAGTATAAGCCCTCAAATCGCGCAGCCTGCCGTCTTTATATGCAGCCCGAGAAAGGGACTGCTGACTCTGTCTGACCCGCTCTTCGGTTTCGAGTTACATGTCTAAGATGAATCACTGGTGGATGAACTACATAAACAACGATACAACGGCTCAGAGACACCAAAGAGATTTGTATTGTCTCCCGAGCACATCAACATCCCCTAACATACAAGGACCAGGGACACGCGGTGCGCTTGGCGAATAAACCTTACCAAGAGACTTCCGAAATGGTGCCCAGGGATTAGAGTTTAGGGTTTAGGGTGAGATACTGATAATAATCACTGCAAACCCTAAACCCTGAACCCTAAACCTCCTCAGCCCTGCAAGTTGTGCACTTGCACAACATTTCAAGGTGTCCTGGTGTTCTCCGGGAGCTGCCTGGCATTACAGAATCCGCTGCAGGACTTGTAGAACATCCAGAGGTGGAGTAGTAAAACATGCCACGGTTCAGGCTTGAGGCTTTTGAGGTTCAGTTTTTATGATTAGTATAGAAGCCTAAATAATTACCTATATTATTTTTGGGCTCCTTGTTATAATTATGTATAGTATAATCTACCCCAAAGCCCTATTCTAATTGTTAAGGCCCCTATATTACTCAGGTGATACCATGGCCTAAGGAGATTCTTGGGGCGCAGGGCTTCGGCTTGCTCAGATTGTATTTTGTCTTGCCAGGTAGAGTTGTTTAAGCTTAGGGTTTAGGGATTATCGGGTTACCTTTGAGTTCGCACGTACGGAGTAACAATCAGGGATCCAAATGTGGACGGCCGTTATGCTGCAAGTCTTACAAGAAGGGTTTTGCCTGAACAAGAAACGCAACGACAGGTTTTCTGCCAACCTCAGCAAGACAGTCGTGGTAACTACGGGGTCAGGGCAGTTCAAGTTGCTGGGCTATTAACAATTACATATACCATTTTGTGGGCTCCATGTTACAACTGTAGCATAATCTACGCCAAAATCCTATTCTAATTATCAAGGCCCCTACAGTAGTTGTCGTACAGAGGTGGACCGGCAGCTGCACGTGGGAAGACAGCTGGTTAAGGGCTTGGGGTTTAGGATTCAGGGTTTAGTTGCAGCCGTTCGTGATGCATCGGGTCAGATGTAGTGGATCACTAAGGCTTTGTGGCGCTACGAACTCAACAAACGTAAACTTTGCGCTCTCACCATCGACGATGTGCCGCTGCTGGACAAGCCGTCTTCACTGGAGGTTCGCGGCTTCGGGGTTCGAGGGCTGCCGAAATCTCAGCACCTGCCCGTGTAAGAGTTTAAGAGGGAATGCAAATTCTGGCTCAGACCAACCTCTATCCGTGAGATGCAGGGGCCTGCGTGATTTGGAGTATAAGCTTGTAGGATCTTCAAACATCTGTAAGCCTGGAAACCAACTTCTAACTGTCTAACTCGACTCAAACCTGAGATTTCGAGTATCTGCTGCTTGCCAGCAGGAGATACTAGATGTGCTGAAGGAGAACAAGGCGCTACATCCTGGCTGCTTTGAAGATGCTTGGGGTGTTCAAAGGTTTAGTTGGTTCGGTCGTTGTTTAGGGTTTAAGTTTTTGGGCGTAGGCTTTGGCAGTTGGTTATATTCAGCAAGATCGTTTACCTCCCGGTAGGGCCCTCTCCGACACGAAACTACATTCATATTCACGCCAGTCCCAAAGCCAAGATCCTTAGGCAGAAACCCGAAGAACTAAGCCTAAACTCTGAAGCCAAAATCGCCGGCCCCAGTATCCTAAACCCTATAAGCCTTAAGCCCTAAGCTTTAAGAGGCGCTGTAGCCCACTAAACCCCAAGTCCCAAGCCTCTGCCTCCTGGAGCCCTTCGTCCACAAAGATGTTGGGTTTAGGGTTTATAAGGCTTAAGGTTTGTAGGTTCAGGGTGTTTAGGCTAAGGGTTTATAGGTTTAGGGTTTAATGTTCAGGGTTTAGGGTCTAAGAAGCCTGAAGACGAGCACCTTCCTTGCACCCTGATAAGAGGCGTATATGTTCCCAAATAATGGGTATTTAGGGTCTCATAGAAGGTAGATGGACGGTCTAGGGAACTACTAGTATTATTTCCTTACTTGGGCTCTGTGTTATACATAAACCTATAACATACTCCAGAGCCTCACTCCGATTAAGGTTCAGGTCGTAAACCCAACTCGCAGACCTTGTGCCAGAGAGGGTTTAGGGGTTTAGGGTTGAGGGTTTAGGGTTTAAGGGTTTAGTGCTTAGGTTCTGAACTCTAAACCTTGACAACCGAAGCCTCTGAACATTACAAAGCCTTTCTCGAGCTGCTACAACGTACCTGGTTCAGGTCTTCATGTAAGAATCATCCGCTATTATTTGGGAGAACCGGGTGCAACGAAGCAAGGGCACAGGACTTCTACACGGAGGTCATATTGCGCCCCTACTCGGTGCCGTATCGAGGCACCATGTCCTTTTGAATGCCAGCAGCTCCTATGATCTCAGTCTGCCTCGACCCTATTCCACAAAACTTGAACTCTCTAAACCCTTGAGCCTGAAGCCCTGAATGCCCTAAGGCCAACAAGCAAAGCAAGACCTGCAGGTCAAAGCTACTTTGTTCGTCATGTCGGGATTCGACCTCCCGCCAGAGAAAGGCGACCCTGTCTTTACGGGTTTGATTCCTTTTCTCCTAAAAAAGGGGTCTCAATAATTGCCAAAACTATGTTGGGGGGGGGGGTCCTTATTATAGCTATAGTCTGATAGGCCTCAAACTACTAAGGCCCCTACATTACACACCTTGAGGGCCAAGGCTATGGCCCCATGGGTTCAATCGTCACGAATAGGGACGGATAGTCGCTATTCGTCGTCTTTAATGGTTCGTAAGTTGCTAGCAATCCTTGTTACCTGTGACACTGTGGCTTGTCGCTGCCCCTAACCAGTTTTTTTGTTGACACGCTTGGCTTTGTGCTCTCAGTGCGGCCTTCTCGACCCCGTTTTACGAAGCTCTTTTAAAGCCCTAAACCCTATAAACCCTAAACCCTAAACCCTAAACCCTAAACCCTAGCTAGTAGTATAATACGGCCCCCCTCCTTCGCCGCTGCTTCGCGGCAGGGGGTCCTCCAAAAGAGTTGCGGAAGCGCACCATGGCCGATGAAGACTTGCCACCTACGAAAAACGAGGGAAGACGCAGGTGCAGGGTTTGGGTTTGGGATTTGGGTTTAGGGTTTGGGGTTTGGGGTTTGGGTTTAAGGTTTGGGATTTGGGTTTAGGGTTTGGGATTTGGGTTTAGGGTTAGGCCTAGCCATAACCCCAAACCCTTAACTCAAACACCACAATCCTACAGAGTTTTGCAACGTTTTTCGGCATCTGGGGTTTGGGTTGCCTCGCAGGTTCAGGCTTGTCCGATCAGGATGTCACCGGATTGTTTCACAGCACAACGGGTTTTGGGGTTTAGAGTAGGATACTCTTCCACCCAAGGCTACCGCGACCTGCTCGATCGGGCGGTAAAGGAGGGCCACGAGCTGGCGAACCATCTCCAGTTCGAGCCTTTTTCTGAAACTAGTACAGAAGTCGTAGAAGCCTATAAACAATTGCCAGTATTACTGTTAGGGTCCCTTACTATACTTATACTATGTTGCGCCCCAATGCCCTAGTCTAAGTATTACGGCCGCTATGTTAGCGCCTTGTAGCTGCAAGCCAAAACGTTGGAAACCCTACCCGAAACCCTAAACTCGATGTCCTCGCCCTGCAGTATTGCTCCTTCTGACACTGTGCCACTGCTTCGGGTTTCAGTATAAGCTATACACCTTGAGGGACCTGCAAACCCTAAACCCTAAACTGTAAAACAGAACCTAAGCCCTAAAGCCCTAAACCTTCAGACCCTAAACCCTGAGTTCCTTCACCCTAACACAGAGCTCTGGGCCTGGGGTACCTTTCCCTTTATTCAAATGCCCGCCAAGAAGGAGATGATGACAAGCATAGGGTTTAGGGTTTAGGGTTTAGGGTTTAGGGTGTCTGATGTTGGAGATTCGAACTTCGATTCCAGTTTAAAAGCGGCCCGAATCCTGTCTTCTTGTGCTTCGCCTAAACCATGAACTAAACCCAAAATCGTTTGGGCGATAGAGCTTAAATCCTTAACCATAAATTCTAAACCCCAGGGTCTGCAGCAGTACTAATTGCCTATACTATTTTGGGGGTTCCTTCTTATCATTATGTATACTGGACCCCAAAACCCTATTCTAATTATTAAGGCCCCTACATTAAGTGCCTTAATTGAGGCTACAAGTAGTTCATGTGTACGGCTACCTAAACCCTAAACCCCCAAACCCCTAAACCGCTAAAGCCCCAAACCCCTAAACCCCTAAACGCTAAACTCCTAAACCCCTCAACCCCTAAACCCCTAAACGCTAAACCTGCTACCTTACACACAAACTCTACATGGGGGTTTCCGAAAATAGGGGACCCTAATATAGTACCCCAAATAGTAGGATCCTTATTATAAGGACCCCAAAATAAGGCACCCCGTATTTTCGGAAACTCCGACCTGTCGGTATGGCCGCCGAGGATCGCCCAGCCATCGCACCAACCTCAGGACACAGCCTACTGATGCACGGTTTAGGGTTTTGGGTCTAGGGTTTTGGGTCTAGGGTTTAGGGTTTTGGGTTTGGGGTTTAGGGTTTAGGGTTGCCACTGATGCATGGCTTTGCAGGGTCTCATAGGGGTGCAAAAGATTTTTGAGGCATGGCTGAACATAGGGGCGTTGTGGTTCTCTTTTTGTTCAGGAAGGGGCCCCTTCTTATACCGAGTTAAAGTGTTTTGCTTCTTTGTGTCAGGCACTCATGATATCGGGAAGACGGACCCTGACATCTTGAAGTTGGTACCAGCTTTCCGTTTCGGAGTTTGGGTTTACAGCAGGGTTTAGAGGCTCAGTTTTGGGTTTGGGAGTTAGGGTTTCCTTGTGGAGCCAAGATGCATCAAGTATACGAATCGAGCCTACTTTGAGGTCCACAGTCTTTCAAGACTACCTACTTCGGGCTGTTTGGAGTTTTTGGGGTTTAGGGTTTAGGGCAAGGCCGTCAAACCCTAAACCCTAAACCGGACTGGACCCGAGCTCCAATATCCGGACGTGACAGATGCAAGTTCGAATGCCTGAGGGCCAAAGACTCGCGCAGCCCCGAAACCCCAAACCCCCCTAAACTCTATACTATACCCTAACCCCTTAACCCCCCCCTCCCTAAACCCCAAAGCCCTAAGCCCTAAACCCGAAATATCCAAAGCCCCCCAAAAACCCCAAAGCCCTAATCCTCCAACCCCAAGCCCTTATAGATCCTTTTAAGGACCCCTAAACCCTGTCAGCCCCAAGCCAAAGGCAATGGAGCAGACGGACTTCGACCAAGCCTTCAACCATTGCAATGGTCTGGATCCAAGTCGGGTTAGGGCTTAAGCGGTTTGGGGTTTTTAGGATTTAGGGGTTACCGGCTTCTTGTCCTGAGTCTTTTTGTTCCCATAGGGTTTTCTGTTGAGGGTTTAGCATGTGCCAATCGTTGTATGTAGATGTGGTATAGTGCAACTGGATCACTGTTTTATTGCTGTGTGTGTGGTGGGGGTGTCGGGGATTGCGTGTTTCGGCTGTGGTCGTGATTGTGGTTGTTGTTGCACATTGGGTCTTGTTGGGGTTTGCAGCTTGGGGTTTAGGGTTCAGGGCGGTTTGGTTCGTTTGTGGAGTGTGGGAGCTGTCAAGGCTACAATGGGGGCCGTTGATGCAGGGGCTCAAACAACTGGAGCACAGTTTTGTTACGTAAAGATTCCAGGTTTGGCAAACGGCCGTTGCATAATTTGGGGTTAGGGTGCAGAGTTGTGGGTTCCATTACTATTTAGGTTTGGGAGATGGGAATCGAGTATGCGTCATGAAAAGTAAGGTTAAGTAAGGTAACCGTCATTGTGTTCGCTTCTAACGGCTCGAAGCTTTTGAGAGTACCCGTAATGTAGGGGCCTTAATAATTAGAATAGGGTATTGGGGTATATTCTACTATAAGTATAATAAGGAACCCCCCAGAATAGTATAGGTAATTATTAAGGCCCCTAGATTACCAGCAGCCCACCGGGGGCCACGGTTTAGGATATTATAGGCAATTATTAAGGCCCCT